TCTTAAAAATTCACTATAATTATTAAATGGTTTTTTATCATAAATTTTTTAAAACAGATTCATCATTTAGACTGTAACAACAGTTTATTGAGGTTGCTGGGTCAAATATTTTAATTCATTTAACAGTTGTTCTGTTTTCACAAAAACAATCTAATAGTATCATTTAATTGTTATTCTAGTTTTGTCTGTGATTTAATATAAATTTAAATGCCTTTGACTGTTTATTTTATGTTTTTGTTAAGATGAAAAGGAAAAGCATCAATTATTGTTGTACAGTTCTTTAAATAAACTTTAATACTGCGAAATAAATAAAACAGGCCATAATACGAAAAACTTTTACATTAAAAGAGGCCAGAGTTAATAGGACAAAGTCGTCGTTAAATTGCCAATNCCGTTATAAACATTTTTAATAACTTTATTATTTTTAAACTTTTGTATTTTTTGAAAATTATGATTTAAGGTGCGATGGTTGATATACCATCCATTACGTTACTATTTTTTATGGTTCGCTACCTTAGTCATGATTTTTGCTTTTATGTGGCAAACCTATTTAAAGCCATATAAGATTTGAACCATTATATTAAAATTGATGACAGAAATGAAGTGACTAAAATAGGATATACATTTGGAATAGATTTTTTTTTTTTTTTTTTTACATTTTTCCTTTATTTCGATGCATTTTATAGAAGTTTTATTAATAGAAACAGGCTTTATATATTATAAAAATTCGTCTTGTACATGTATTACAGAATCAAAATTAATAAAATTGATAATATACAAAATGCTGTTTCCTAGAGAAACAGATTTTTTATCCCCTTCCTTCCTAAAACGTGATTACCGCGTGAAAGAATGACGTTAATCTCCTGATGCCGAACATTCGATTTAATTGCGATAACATTTCTGTCTCTATGAGTAACTATACACTGTATATACCGATTGATACAATATATTTATAGCTTTTATCTAAAGATGATAAAAATTATGACGAAAAGTACTTATACTATTTGTAGATCAGACGTTTGTAATACCAATGTGGAGTTTAAGGTTACATAAATTAATCGATTCACTAAGTAAATGTTTAATATATCCACTTCAATTTCTCTTTAATATTGCCCGAAAACTAGGATTTATTACATATTTATTTAATCCATCCAAAGATATAGACCAGCTGCAAATGGCATACAGAATGATTTCTTTCCGTTATTTGAATTTTACTAAATAATTAATAGTGCGGAAACACTGAATATAATTGTGATCTTAAAAATAATAATTTACTGACAATGATCAAATGAGAACAATAAGAATTATTTTAGCTTCTCCTTCCAGTTATTAAAGTTAATGTCTTATTCTCTAAAGTAAACTAGTTTACAGGTTATAAATTTGTTTTTTAAAATATAATATTAATTAAATTTAATTGTTTTTAAATAAATATATTAAAATTGATGCAATGTATTAATATATTTAAATTAATTAAAATAGTTTATCTCTTGTTTAATTTAGAATAATTTCAAGGTCTATAGGTTTGGCATTTAAATTATTATGTAATAAGTATTATCAAGTAGTTAATTTTATATTATTGTTATGATTACAAATGAATTATTTATAATTAGCTTTAAAGAAACCTTTTTTTCAATTACTGCTTAATGATTTCAATCAAATTTCATATTTTCTTAGTCATGTATAAAATTAATAAGCACAGTTTTAAACATTGCTCTATTAGTTATTTAATATATGCAGGAATGTGTTGTTATAATAATATTTTTAATGACATTTAGATAAAATTTACTATTAAAAAAAATTTCTAAAATATTGCATTTCCGCAATTTTGATTTCTATCCTTGAATGATAACCTATCTTTGAGTAGATTTATGATTATTTAGAATAATTTTTTTTTATTAGTCATATCTTATCTAAACCTTTTTTATAAATTTTTAATCATTTGAATTATTTTAAGATTGTTACAAAATAATTTTAACAGTTTAATCTTGTACTATTTTCTTCTAATATAAAGCAAACACAACTTAAATACATGACTACTGAGCTCTAATTTAATAGGTTAAATAAGGATTAATCTAAGAGATAGTAATTTGTGATATGACTAGTTTTTATAATGGAAACAGTTATTAAATCTTATCACTTGTGCTGAATATACATTGAAATCTATTCTTATATAAAAAGGATTAGAATGATTATTAGATGCAAATTATGCAGTTCTAATGTATATAATGAATTATGTAAATATATTATACATTCTGGCTTAGTAAACACTAGTATTGTGTTGTATTCCAATGACACATGGCAAGTTTTTCCATCAAATATCTTTATTAGTTGAGTTGACTCAACTAATAAAGATATTTGATGGAAAAACTTGCCATGTGTCTTTGGAATACAACACAATACTAGTGTTTACTAAGCCAGAATTATAGAACAGGACACGATTTCTAAAAAACAAATCAACAAATATTATACATGTTTTATGATATGCATAATAATTGTATTTAGAACAGTATATAGACAGATTATTAACTATATTTAAGTATTTTTAAAGTTTTGCATTAAAGGTCATCATGTAGGTTCCAGTTTTTAAACTGGACAATGTAATATTTTTATTTCTACAACCTTTGCTACAGTTACTGATGGTTATCCTTGTATTAATGGAAATTATCTGTCAATTTTTTTTTATTTGATTTAGAGTATGATAAAATATACCTTATCTTATATGAATGATTTATTTATTATTTTGACTTAGAAATTTCAATTCAAATTTTCACAAGGAAAACAATTTTTTCTTATTGAAACTTTTCTGTTATCACCTAATAACCAATCACACATGTTTTTCCATTGTAGAGAAAACTATTTTTTTAAATTATAAATTTGTTTTTATTATATCATTTGATGTAAAATCAAGCCTAAAGGTAAAAACTGTAATTAGAAAAAAAAAAAATACCACCACCAATCTGAAATTCAAAATTTAGTATTAAGGTCAGTAATCTCTATACAAATAAACAAAATAAATAAATAAATAAATAAAACTAAAAATTTAATAATTGAACAAATAAATTAATACTTTCATTCTTATAATTTATAATTTGAAAGATCTTACTAAATTTTTTAAATTTATTCAAATTGTTTACATAATAAGCAGTAAAAAAAAATTACATTTACAATTTACTTAATTTTATAATCATTAAATAATTATATAATATAACTTAAAATTATTTAGATATTAGAATTTTTTTGTTTTAAAAATTTATTGTTGTTATCGCAATTACATCTTATAACCTTAATCAAGTTATTTTTTATTATTATTTTTTTTAAATAAATTTTTTTACTTAAAATCTGTTTTGCAGTTTGTCCTAATTATGTATCGAGTTTGCCCTCGATTCTGTAATTCTGAATATTTATAGACTTGTAAATGAAATATATTGCATTCTATTGCATTTAAAATATGAATAATAAGATATAAATTCACATAAAATTAGTTATGATAAATAATATATAATATTATTAACTTATTAAGTAGAACTATTTTAAAATATTTGATTAATTTTTTATTCAAATCACATTCAACTTTCTTTGATAACCGGATAATTTTTTTAAGAAAGATGTATTTAAATAACTTAGTAACTATTTTTTTCTTGAGATTTTTCCCTCAATGAGTCATTTTTCTTGGTGGACTCTACAAGATGATATCACTTCCGCGAAAGTTACTATGTGGTTATTTACATGGTAAATTTCGACATCACACTGTGGCAATATAAAATGTTCGGTGATAAAAATAAATTTCTTTGATAGAAAATTGGAAGGTCTTCAAATCATTAGTAATGCCAAGATGTTATTGACACCAAGTTAAGGATAGAAAGCATAATATAAAACTTATCACTGATTTATTGTTTACATTGTATTACTGTAATGTTAAAACAAACTAAGATTAGTTTTAATAATGAAAATTTTAAAAAGAATGAAATTATCAATGATTAGTGTCAAGGCTGTAATGGCTTTTTCGTAGAAGTAGTATCCTCTGCTTATACTAATTTTTATGTAACCTCGTAACGAATATAACTAATCAACACCTTAATTTTTTACAATTAATTTTTTTCTCTCTCTTTTCTAACACCAATTTTAATTTAATATTGAAGAAAAAAACTAGTAAAACATAAACTTTCTACCGACTTTTCGACTACAACACTGCTTAGCACGCAAAAGGAAATAAGTAAGCTTATAGGCCTATAAACCGGGATTGCGCCGGAAATAAGGTTTGTTGCTCTTATCTGTTAACTTTATATAAATGATTTGATAAATCTAAAATTATTACATTCCAATAAATATTGCTGGATGTGATTTAAAATCTAAATAATTGTAAAAAACAGCTACTCGTTTCAATACTAACACGATTCGAACACGTGTAATTATTTTATATTTACGAGAAAAACAATTACATCGGCTATTTGATAACGTATTATGATAGAATTGTTTCGTATTTGTTGATCAAATTAACCTTAATAACTGTAAACGGCCTTTTCAGTCCTCAATCGATAGGAACAAAAACAATAACCTACTTAAATTGTTGTAATGTTATGTAGTTTACTGGGATGTTATTCTAAAGATGAATTCAGAATAAGACATATAACACAAATTACATATAACTAATGAATTGTCTCTCGTTAACGTTACACGTTGAATAGTTTAAATTAGTTAACCCAGTTCTTAATTTGTCAACGTGTAAAGCCTTCATTCGTGCCCCTCAAAACGGACGTTTCGCCATTGCTGCTTTAGATTCGCGGAATCCTAAAGGATATGACGTCAATTTTTTCATAACTCAAGTTACTTTTCCAGTCAATTATGGCTATCGACCTGCTTCATTCTATATTCGGTATACATCGATCTATCTCTTTGTCGATAGCATAAATTTTACCGAAATTTGGAGTTAAAACACAAATCCAATGCCAGATAAAATAAGTTTATTAACTTATAAATCTTTGTTTTACATAGAGGTAATTGCCGTTAATATTTTTAAATGATTAAATATTATCTACTGCTAGACATTCGTGCCAGCCGGTTAATCAAGTGGTTTAAACGCTTCATCAGAAGGATCCGGGTTAATATATAGGTCTATTGAATCCTTGTTTCCTACAGATAAAAGCAACTTTTAATACTCTCTAGGAGTTAAAAAAATAGCTTATGTAAATGGCTTAAATTACGGGTTGTGGCATAGTAAGAAGTAGGTTACTTACTATCTGTGACGTAAAATCGGCACATCCTCCAGAATTCTTATAAATGACACCGCAGATGTCTATAATGAAATACACTCTTAGAAACTTGAAAAATTCCCTGTCTGATTCTGATATTATAGAAAAAATGCTATAATTGTTACTATGTAAAATGTACACGCGATCTTAATCTTGTGCCACATATACGGAGGCTTTCGAAAAGGGAAGCTGGGGACTTTTCCCCTGATCTGGAGAACATTTAGTGGTCCTTAATGGTTCCTGCCTCTATAAAATTAATGCTATTTTTACTAACAGAAAATAAAGTCTTTAAAAGACTGCTTCTTATTAATAAAAAAAAAAAAAACATTCTATTTAATTTATTCAAAAAAAGAAAAAGTCAAATGAGGCCCGCTCTACCTCCAGGCTCCTTGCAAGTTCATTTATGCACAGATTTATGATATATTTTGCAATTCAAATTTATAAAATTATCTACAAATATAAATAATAAAAAAACTGTTTATACAAAGAATGAAGCTTCTTATATAAGAATTAATTCACGATATACTAACTTTCTTAAAATATTTCATTTAATTTTCGGTGTTTTACCTTGGCATGTTTCCTTTCCCGTTCTACATGTATCTTATCCATAATTTAATCGAAATTACAAAGAACCGGTTCAAAACTACAATAACCTTCAGAATTTTGGATATTAAAAATGGTAAGATGAATATAATGGTAATGCTGGCAATAAGCCAAAATATATTTCTTCAGTAAAATTGAGTAAAATAAATGATTTACTGTTTAATGTTGAATGGAATATAACAAATACAATACTTATTATTCAATCCATCTTTTATAATTTATATCAGCTCGTGGCGCTATCTGTTGATATGAATTTAAATTATTTTTAATATGTGTATCTTATATTTCAAATTTTTATAAAAATTTATTTAATAAAAAGTAAAAAAAAAAAAAAATTAAATTATTTTTCATCCCCGTAACGAATTAATAGAAATTTAAAATCTATAATTTTAATTATAAATTTGTTTACAATCTATTATTATTATTATTATAAATAAGATTAATGTGTTTAAATGCGTTTTTCATTCTTTAAAAACTAAAACATTTTAAAGATTTCTCTCTATCAGTCTAGTTTTAAATTCTTTTTTCAATATTTTAGATATGGAGCATGTACTGTACCTTTCATTAAAAATAAACTAGCATAAACGTTTATATAACTTTGTTAGTAGATTATTAAAATAATTAAGATTTATTTCAATATTTAAATGCCTGTACTCAATTTAAATGATTGTTCTCAATTGGTAAATTAACTCATAATTCAAGAATGTTAGAATATTACATACTACTGACAACCCTAGTCAAATGATTAAGAATCTTCAAGATGTGTTTCAAGCATATATATTCATCAAAATAGAAACTATTAATATATAAAATTTTTAATTACCNTATATATATATATATAACCTATTTAAATTATGAACAATTCAAGCTACAAGTTCAAGGGAGGGAGGGAATTTGCTAAAACTACATTATGTACACAAAAGGGAAGAAGGGAGTTAAAAATGTCTCAAAAACTGTATAGTAATTAATGGACGACCCTATTTAAGTATAATTTAAATTATATTATATACTGGAAACTTGGAGTTTCTTTACAAACATGTTTCTCAAGTATTATTTACATGATTTAAATGATTTTTATACAGTTATATAGTATATAAGCTTAAATTTTAAAAGAACAATTTATAATAGCTTCGAAAAAATCGTGATTAATCTTTGAAAACATTTCAATTTTTTTTTTTAATTATTTAAATCTCCAATATTTTATTTTATTGTTAAGGTATTTAAATTAATGTTTTTTTTCGGCCTTGAATTTAAAAAGAATATAAATTATCATCATATAACTAGGCAGGCAGGAAAAGGTTTTATTTTTCTTAATCATTTTATACATTTTTTTAAAGTAACAATCCGTACGTTGCACAATTTGCAAATCATTTTAAATGACAAACTGGCGTAATGAGAGCGTAAATACGGAGCTGTGAATTGATTCTTAGATATATGAGTATATAAATAAATAATTATATATATATTTTTTATTCTTAATATATTTATTCGTTGAAGCAATAAGTTTCTGTCAACATTACACGTGTCTAACCTTCTTCGTCATTAGCCTTTTCTAACCTTGAGATTAAAAATAAGGAAAAAAACAATCAACACTTCGAAGCAATGAATTTACATATACAAGAATGGGTAGAGCAAGTACAACATACATAATTACGTAGTAAGTCTACGTAATTTTATAATATAATACGGGTCAGATAAAATTAATATCTTAGTTGTCAGAAGCAAATTATTTCATTGGGAAAATTTAATTAAACTATTTGTAGGCTAACAATTTATGAAACTTAATTCATAATAATAACTCATTTGAATTGCTTAAGGAATATTTACAATAATAAATACTACGAGTGATGAATTACGATACAATTTCATTAAGGTTTTTAAGTTACTTACATCGTATAAAGTTATTTCTATAAGGTAAGAAAAGTTTTATAGTTTCATACTGTGAAAAAAAACAATTTTTTATATGGGATATGTACTATAGATTTATAAAGTGAGTATATAAAACAAAGTTTGTTTAATTTAATTGAATATTTTTGTATCGAATGCATTTATAAATTAAATAACCATCTTTAATTTTGTTTAAAAGGGAGGATCTGATCATCAGGATCGAGCATCATGCACGATCCTCTGATGATCAGATCTTCCGATTATCAATAAGAATAATTGAAAATTTCATAAAATTTTGAAATCTATCAGATCTAAAACTAGTAGATTAATGTGCGCATACAAGTTTAAAATAGGCAAGACAGTGAACCGATTCACAGTAAACAGATAGGCAAAAACAAAGCCAAATAACTTTTAAAGTGCTTCAATAAGGAAGCTTAAATATTATCTTTTTATTTTTATATGTAATGTTATTTTAACGGGATTTAAATACGTTAAACTTAATGCTATAATGTTATTTTAATGGAAGAAAAAAACGAAAGTAATATGGTTTACAACACTAAAATTGTCTAAAAATACAAACTTATTTTAAACGTAATTATAATCATATAACATAAGTTATGGTTGATTTATTAGTTGATTAGTGAATGCCAGACACTAGTACATTTAGGATGTAGGCTTATTTTTTGCCACAATTATATGCATTATGAAAGACCTCATTCTCGACCTGATCACCAGCGAGTATCAGGGAAACATAGCTTTGATTTCTGATGTTTATAAATTCAATTTCTTTCAATAAATTAAGTTATTGACTATTTCTACAATACATTAAATTAGTGTTTCTCAAATTCGAATAATATAAGAATCCTTTTTTGTAGGGCCACCAGTGACCAAGTGGATGAATCGAGTGAACACTGGTAGAATCCTGGATTTGCACTTGATTAACGTGAACTTTTCCAAGTTTCTTCACCTATGTAGCATCTAAACGGGGATAATTTTTCCATTAAAAAGCTTCTTGACAGATACTCTCCCTCATCAGATGTTGCTTCTCCTTATCCTATCAAACCGAACCGAACCAAATCTTTTTGTAAGTAATTTTCTAGACTCTAAATTAAAATTAAACAAATAAATTAAAGTCAAAGATGTAAAATTTTTGCTTAACAAATAAAAAATATTATCTAGGTTATAATCTTAATAACATTTGTACTTTTTTTTTAATTAAATTATTGATGAAAACTAAACTACACGCATACCATAAAACCATATTACTGACAGGAATTTCTTCATATCCTCATTTCTCCACATCCATAATGGAGAAATACGGGAACTGCTTTCTATACCCCATAATATATATGAGGAAAAGAGAGTTAAGAGGGCTTTTCTTCTAGGCCATAGAAGAAAGACCTTGATGCCCACAAGGAAGAAAGAGGCTGAAATGAAAAGCGCAGAAAGTATTTTTTTTTTTAATATTACCTATGAGATAAATTCAGTTGCTTTTATCTAATGAAACATTAATAAAACAGTCGAATAAATTTGCGTAAATACTTTTATTTTAAGCTTAAAATTTATCCGGATTCAAATCACTGAAAAGAGTTTGATTATACTTTTAGATAATATAGTTGTTTCTGTTTCAATGTAATTAAAATAAAAAAATTATAAAATATTAGTTTGTTATTATAGAAAAAATACAAAAGTTAGAATGATTATCTCATTCTAATAAAGTAAAACTTGTTTAAACATATACTTTATAAAACGGATGCGTGTCTAAATGAAAAATGAAGCTTGAAATGGAAGGATTTTCTATGTAAAATATTATCATAAGCGGGAAACCTATATAAAGGGGAAAGATAAGAGTTATTGAGTGCCAATTTCACAACGTAACCTGAGTAAAACGGGATTTTTCGATAAAGCAACAATTAAATTTTAAATTGTAATTAAAACACATTGTAAAATCCCGAGACCCTTGTTTTTGTTAAAGATTTTTCCCTCATATACCACATACACGCATCAGCGTTGAGCTGTATTATATATTGGGAAGTAGGTGAGAATGAGTAAGAAAAATTTCTCATCGTTGGGTTTTGAATGGCTATAAAAAATAATAGTACAGTACCTATTATGTACAATATTGGTTTTTACTCCTAATTTTTGTAGTATATAAAATAAAAATATGTTGGAAGGGGGCAATTCGCCGGTAGAAAAGTATTGAGAAAATATATTCCCTCTAAACAATCACTGTATTTACACAAGTGATTGTGAATTAACTGTGTTCTAGTGACTGTGAATGGATGTTCAGAAGACTTCAAATTTATTATTATTATTTGTATTTAGTCTTCAATATTGTACATTTTAAAAAATATATTTTGTCCTGGATTTTTAGTCTTTACTTTAGAAATTTTACTATATTCATTTTTTAAATAAATTATTAATTTGTATCAATGTTGTAATATCGTGATGTTGACAATGCTATAATGTATTAAACTATTTTTAAAATGAAAAAATTGTTATTTTATTTATTTTTATACTTAAGGGAATTAATTCGAAATAAATTCTGCATTATTATTTCATCGGCTTTTATAAAATGGATAAGAATTCACATTGCAAATAAATAATTTAGAATTTTATCTAATCAAATCTACTTTTATCAGTGATAAAAATCAAATGATCTATCATCTATTCGAAAAAAATTATTTTTTTTAGAAAACTTCTCTGAATATGATTTTATAATTTATAAAACCCAGAAAAATTCTCTACAAACGAATATCTAGGATTAATCATAGAATCATAAAGGTTAGGAGCAAATGCGATGTATCCTCTATCATTACAATAAGTTACTGCAAAATTTTATATAATTTATAATAAAAAATTCTTAAATAAACAAGTGCCAAATACACCCTCAAAAAACGAATCAATAATTTTATTTATATTTACCAATGAATGCTATTAGAATAGCCCAGAATATTATTTTCATATTGTTCACTATACACTTAAAATTTTATTTATTTGTATATGAATTTACAATTACATTTGTGAGCACATCATACCCGGGCCCTAATATGCTTAGTTTTGTAAATTACAGTAGATATATAAGTTCTTATATTTTATTAACACAAATATAAGAAAATAATCTGAAATTGTTAACTTCAAAACAACAAAAAGTTTTAATCACATTATTATTCTTATCTGAGGGTAAACAACTTTTAGTTCCTTTAGCAGTCAATGCATTGTTAAAGAACTGCTGAATAAAAATACCTGTATTATAAATTAGATTTAATAACGAATTAATTTAAAATTTCAATTTTTAAACTGTAACGTTAATTAATGTATTTATTTCTATGGTAAAACTCTCGCAAATACAGTAGATATCCCGATTTAAACAGTTTCAAATATATTCTTTTGTAAATTTATTAATGAGCAATTCTGAGTTTCTTTAAAGTAACACATTACGTAAGTGAGGATGTAAATGGTTGTATTAATTAGGAAATCGTTATAATAATATGCTGAAAAATAATTTGATGATGGCTGGTTTTGTTTTATTACATGTGTTTAAATAACAGAATTTATTTTATCCAATTTCTGAATGCTTTAAACGTTTAAATAGAAATTAATTTCATATAGTTTTCTTTAAATGTTAATTTATTTTTCGAGTTTTATATCTCTTCTATCAGTTTACTGTTTTTCTAGTATCGAAATCAAATATATGTCACCAAATATGACCAGATTATTAGGTAAAATATAATATTTTACACCATTTTCCTCGTTTTGTTTACAACTCATTATTATATTAGAGTATATATATATATACAGTACTAATTATAATATGAACCGTTTCGTATATTTGTTTATTTATATTTTTATGCAAAAATAGTCTTTAAAATATAGAACATCCTTGAATAATACTCGATAAAATAGAATCTGTAAATTTTTTTCTAATGCTGAATGATGTCTGCCAATTTTTAAATATCGTGTGTAAATGACCGAATTACATCGAATTAAACTTTAAATTTATCATTAGATTTTATATAGAACAATGTTAAATTAAACACATTCAAGGTCATTTTAAGCACCTTTGAGGCCCCCCTGGCCCAATTTCTTTAGAGGCATTATACAGATATACATACTGAATAAAAATATAAGTAATGAGCAGTAAGAAGGCGAGGCCCTTTACCATAATTGCGTATACCCATGTGTCATTGTGATCCTGAATACACTGAATTACTCCAAAATTCGTGATAAACATGACTTTGGTTCTTATTTTTTTTTGTAGTAAATAATTTTGAATATTTTATTATCGTATTGCTGTAAATGCTAAATTCTAAATAAATTCTGTAAATTTATATCAAAGTATTAAACATTAGCATTGTAAACAAAACAGTTTTAAAATGTAGAAAACATTTTATATATCATAATTTTGATTACTTTATTTATGAGATATATTTACTATGTAATCAAGGAAAGTTAGGAAAACAAGAATAGTTAATTAATTTTACTATGTAAATATGATAATTAATTAAGTCTCTCCCAGAAGACATCTTTCAGCTATGTTTATATTCCAGGATAATTTCATTAAATACATAAAAGATCTCTTAGAAACTTTTTAAAAAATTATTCCTCCATTAAACATTTTATTCAGTTTAATACTAACCAGAGAAAGACTAAGGTTTATCACATCAAAAGATTAAAATTAAACTTTTATTATTAATAATTAGAACTTAATAAATTTTATTGTATCCCTAAAGGTATTTGTTGATGTACAGTACAAATAGCTACTTTAAAATATTAAATTAACTGTACAGTCCTTATTTATTATGTATTGTGTTGTGTTTTACCTTAAAAACTTTTCCTTTTGTAACAATTTTAAAAAATTATAATTATTACTGATTGCTAATAAAATATAAGGTATATTAAATAACCTTGAAAACAGTAAGATTATATTCCAACTTGTTTTCATACAGAAAACTTTATTTTCCTCCTCCTTTTTGTACTTTTTAAGCTGTATTTTGAATTTAAAATTATTCCATGTAATTATAATTATAATTATTTCCTATAAAATCTTTGCTTGATAAGTGAAATTTTAATTCGTAGAATTTTTCACTGAATGTTTGAATTATTCCAGTTTTTCCTCTATCATTTTATTATTTTAAATGTTAATCTGTGAAGCATAAAACGTAGATTTTAATTTTGTTATTTTGAAAACAATTACTTATATTACGTATAAAGAAAATAAAATATGCCTTATCCTTCAATACACTCTTTCAATTGTCTAATAAAAGTTATCATGTGACGAAAATATTTTTCTCTTGAAAATTATTTTATTGAAGTTTTGATAGAATTTGAATATTTATTAACCATTTTTATTGGAACATCTGAAATTGGATTATCATAATAAAGAAATTAGTAAGGATCATAATGCAGAATTCAAAAGACATCTGTTGATCGATTGACAAAGCTTACAATTTGAGAAATTTTTTTATGGCCATTAGAAACCTACTGGAAAATTTTCTGCCTTTGCTTCGGAGACTTTATTTTGACAAATTTAGACATCTACTTCAACACTTAGTTACTAATTTGCATTATAAAGAAGCTGATAAATAGAAATTGAACTTCATAAAAATACTAACATATTAACTGCTTTGATAAATAAATGATTATCCATGTATTGAATAATGATGAAATGATATTAAAAACTTGTTTAATTTCATGTAAATCAATGTAACATTAAACAAAAGGCCGTTATAAAGTTACTGAAGCATGATTTAATTGATATTGTGAACTGTAACTGTTTATAAAAGTTGCACCGCAAACGGGAATGTTCGGTTGGCTGTGGTAACTAGTCTGCTGCCGTTCTACGTATCTTGCATGTACAAGTACGATTAAGTATTTTCGTGCCTGTTGGGCACTGTCTTATCTTTAACGTATTTTCTTTAGAGTTCGGAGAATTCTATAATATGTTCCTCTTAATAATGCTTTTCACGTATGGAGGTTATGACACGAATTTTTCTCCAAATGAAAAGTGAAATAGTATGTTTAGAAATCTCGGAAATACTGCATAAAAGGTTTTTCCCCTTCTTTTTCGAGGTTTCCCTTATTCAAATTAATTAAAACTTTCTTATTCCCTTCCTGGACTCATTGCTTTCATATTAAATTTATTATTATTATTTTTTAAATAATAACTGTAGAATGTTCGTAAAATGGTTTAGAGTTAGTTTAAATAAAATGGCCGATGAGGTTAAGGCGTTAGCCTAGCGTTCTGGGTACCCGAGATTGAATCCAGGCGAACAGCTCCCAAAAAATTTTCATGGCGGCTAGTTCTGGATCCTGTCATCACCGCCCACCGGCCACTTCTATTATTGGCCTGGCCGAACCCACGATGAATATGGTAAAAGGTTCTCTTAGTGCAGAGTGAAAAGAACCAAAATAATAATAATTAATTCAACGAAATAATTATATTGTGTAATGCCACAGATTAAAATGCAAAATGCAGATACAGAGCTATATCTATAAGACTATATAAATAAAAAAAAATATATATTTTCATAAGTTTCCAGCTTGTTAAACTGAGGAATAACGAAGAAATATACTTAAAGTAACCGTATTTAACACTGTTAAGAGCAATATTTAGCAGTACAAATGCAATTAAATTTGGTTTGACGACATTTTAGGGCATGCAGAAGATGTTTCTGTAAAAAAATTATCAACAAAATTGCAAGAAAGAAAAAAGCAATTTTATTTATGGAGACACTTAAAAATTGTAGTTTATTCAAGATATGTTGCAAATTTGGCAACCTTGAAAGATAGTATCATGCTGCGCATGTGAGAAGCATGCAGAGGAGAAATTGAGGTTGCCCGTTGAACACACTGTTCACAACAATTGAACACACATCACTTTCAGGTTTTAAACCTTTAGAATGGGGGTTTACGTTAAGCGATATCCTTATATCGTTAAGATTTTTGCATAGCACTAGTATCTTTTACACTCAAAATGTTTGTTACTTTCAGTGCCAAAAGTGCCACAGCGGTGCATTTTGATATTGTCGTTTTAATGGAAATATTTTCTGCAGATCCTGAAATATTACCACAGCAAATTTGGTTGCATTTGGACTGCTAAATACAGTATCCTTTTGGGCAGCGTTGAGTAGGGGTACTTAAATTACGATCATCCGGTATTTGCTTTAGTATCTCACAAATATTACATAAGTTATATTGTTTTTCATAGTTATGAGATTAATAACGAACGTTATTTCAGAAACGTTTGGAAAGCTAAATAATTATTTTTAAAATTTTCATGCTTTATAATCAATCTTTTGATTAGTATCAATACCAAACATTTTAGTTTTTTTAATGTGTGCTCATCGTTTATTGTATAAAAATAGTGGGACACAAAATCGGAACCATCCCGATCAACTTAGGACATTTTTATTATTATTTTTTAAACTCTTTTCGCCCTGTGGGCACTAAGAGGTTCTCTATTAGCAAGCCCATTATGGGTTCCGCCAGGCCCACAATAGTGCGGCCGGGTGGGCCCGACATATCCGGTCGGATCACCCCAGAAAAATTTCTGGGGATTTTTCGACCCGTTTGAATACGATTCCGGATTCCCAGAGCGGTAGATTGCCACTTTTACCGCTCGGCCATCCAGGACATATTATAAACCGTTTACCGTAGTATTATTTTTTATTTAAGACAAATTCGTATAAAAACTCAGCGAATTCTAAATATAAGATTTATCGTCGTAAACTGAAGCGAAGCAATAATCGAAATTAAAACTATATTTATCCATAGATGCCAGATTGGATTAGAAAACATTTTTTTTTTCAATTTCCTCTTCAGTAACGCTCTAAACCCGATCGATAAAAAAAAAAAAGAGAGAGAGAGAGAGAGAGAGAGAGATAAATTCGTGAATAAATTCTACTAATGCTTAGCTATAATTTTAAAAATTAAATTAAATAAAACTATTAAATAATTGCTACAAAATTTTCAAATACAAGCGAATAAATATAAAAACAACTTTTATGGCAGAAATCAAGGGGGCGTTTTGATACTAAACAGAGATGGCGTTGATGAGAAATACTAGTTGCCAGTAACTATCGTCTCTACCCATGCACGAGCGGGTACGGAGATGGCACCGACATCAGCAAATGGTTTCTGGGGTAAACCGACAGCGACTCTCGATTGGTGCGAAAGAAATTACGAAGTTACTTTTTATATCGCTGAATTTTGTAAGTGGTTCTTATATTATAGCTTATGCATTATAAGGACGATCACGGTCGAAACTTTAATTCAAAGCCATTTATATTGAATTTTAATGGTTGTTATGTAAAATCTCATAATGTTTTTATTGCTACAGCATTGAATTCGGTATCGTAATCGATAGAATGATTCGATGGAAACTGTATAATTTAATGGTTAATAAATATTTTGTAGTAGATATTAAAAGAATTTTTATTCTCTTTATTGAAATAGTTTTTAAATATTAAATTTTATACATCTAATCATCAAGAATTATCTTAATAGAGTTAATAATTGTACAGTATTTAAATATGTTTGTAATTGTTATCAAAACAGGAAGACTTCTATTGATCATCACAAGTGATTGTTCTGTTTTTCATGTTGTTCAGATAGGATCTCTACTGGAATGTTTAAAATGTGGGCATTGGAAAAGGAAATCTTTTGCATGCAGAGGTGAATGACATTTAATCAATTAGCTGATGGAAAAAAGATGTGGATGTGGAGTGACTTTGATTTCAACTCAAGAGTTTCTAATAATAATAATAATAATTATTGTTATTACCAAAAATAGAATACTATGCTTTTACTTTAAATATATTTAATTCAAAGCTTTTTTTTTTTATCAATTTCCTTTTAGCAAAATTACAGATGATTTAATAATGTCAATGTATATTATTGAGAATTTTCATATGTATTATTTCTAAAACAAAACTAATAATATTGTAAAATGAATTATACATTATTATTAGTTTTGTATTAGAAACAATATATTAAATTTGTTAGTCTTAGAGTACCGTATTTACTCGTGTATAAGACAATCTTGCATATAGGATGAGGTGTGACTTTATAGGTCAAAATAAAGAAAATTAGATTTATTAATACAATTCTAATTTTATTTTATTTAATCACAAATAAAATATCAAATGCACCTAAATGCACATGTCCCACAAAAATTATTGGCATTTTAAACTTTAAGGAAAAATCTTGTAAAATTGACAGCATAATTTGTTCATGTAAAGCTGGGCGGTTGGGAACCATTTTTGCCAACAGTCGAATCCACTCTGTTGATTACACTTGTGAGTTTTTCTGAATTCTGATTTCCAAATATTCATTTGTTTTTGCATGGGAATGGATTAAAACTTATATTGGGCTCCTGTGTAATTTTGGAATTTAATTTAAAAACTTTGCTTTTCCTATTGCTATTCATCTTTACTCCTGACATTACACGAAAATGATTCAAATGACCCAGATAAAATACTTTTGTTTTTAATTACCAGAGGGTGAACATTGGTAAAAAATGTGAATATACGGTTTACAAAAATTATTGCAAAAATGTAAAGAATCCTTCACATGTATAGGACAACGTAGGTTTTTGAATCAGTGAAAAACAAATAAAAACCTTGTCTCATATGCAAGTAAATATACTATATGTATGAAATTTTATTTTACTGAAATCTGTTAAAGCATGAATATATGTAAGTTAAAGTGTGTCTAAATAGAATGTTAAAACATTGGTGTAAAGTAAAAAAATGAAAAGAAAAATAACTTGTAGGTATTAATATATGAATTCCATTCTGATGGAGAATGAGATGACTTGTGTACTGAGGCTGCAGATGATTACAAGCATGAAATTACACCACATACTCTCACACCATATTCGGTGCTCGGGTAGCTTGTAGATAGTAACAACAAACCGTTCCTTGGAGGTAAGTCAAATACTCTCAGACAGCTCTCTGTAATTTGTCACTTGTGAAAATTTTCATCAAAAAAAAAAAGGTGTCTTCAATTTTCTGAAGAGAGAATAGTACTCAGAAGGCCAAGTCAAGATGACAACCAGAGATTCCAAATACTGTTACTGTGTGATAGCCTGCATGTAGCTTGGAGAAGCAGAACATGCCGTGTGAAATTTTTTGTACAGGAACTTTCATTTATGTTTTTATTGTTTTGATTGGCTTTTCAATTTGGGTGTGTGATGATGAAATCAGACTTGTCACTAGTGATGAAAAATTATTCAGAATTTTCATTTTATAGAGCTGGCAGTTCAAAACACTTTTCCACTCTTATAGTCTTCTGTTCAAAATCAGGTTTTATGGTATCTAGTATGTGCACACTTTTTGGCTTTAGCTCCAGCTCTTCAAGGAGTATTGTATGGACTGTTTTACAGTAAGGGATATCACACAAAATAAATAGATGTACAGTGGTGCCTTGTATAACGTACTTAATCCGTTCCAGGTCACATCCGTTAAGTGAAAAGTCCGTTATACGAAACACATTTTACCATAGTTAAAACATGTTAAAACATAATTCGTTCCGCAGCATAAAATAACCGTACTGTTCCATAAAAAAAAAAATGAAAACGGAGCAGTCACCGATTATTCCAGGTAGTCAGATGTTGTGAGGAGGAGGTGAAGGAACACTTTCTTTACACATTCATACAGATACAGACTTTTTACACATTGCAGCAGGTATCTTTTTATTATTTTTTAATCGGAGTCAGATTCAGGAGAGGCTACCAGAGCTTGCAGGGTCATCTCCTCTTGTTCCATCCTTTGTTTTTTGGCAGCTTGCTTCTTGAAAAACATGTCCAAGGTGGTCTGTTTCTCTCTGTTCTTCAACACCTGTCGGAAATGACGGGCAAGGGTGTCATTGTAGAGATCATTGATACTGTTGGCCTCAGTTCTGTTTGGATAATGAGTGTTGGTAAACTCCTGAACCTCTCCCCATTTGACAAGGAAGTTTTTGTCAACTTTCACTCCTTCTGATGATTTCTTGCATTGTTTCAATTGAAATCACTTTTCTGTTTTTTTAGAAGCCATGATTTGCACAACACTTGAATAAATGTAAATACCCTGCACTGAGGTGATGTACGTAATAAATAAGGGAGCAAGCCGAATCCCAGCGGGAGCTCTGTACTTTAGATATACTAATAATATATTCTAATAATACTAATATGTTATAAAAATAGCAGATTGTCATTGGCAATAGCAAACGAGTGGAAACATTATTCGCACTTGTTCGCAGAAAGTCCGTTGTTCGCCTCATGTAACTGCCGAATGGAAAGTCCGCTGTTTGCAGACAGTCTGTTGCTCGAGTCACGTAATGGCCAAACAGAAAGTCCATTGTTCGCAGCGTCTGTTATACGAGGCACCACTGTATATAATTATAACTAGTCAAAAGAAAATGCATTTTTGATTTTTTATCTATTAAATTTAAAAAATGATTATATACTATAATACATATTTATCATATTATATAATATGTAAATAGGAAAATTTTGAAACAATTTCATATAAACTTGACTTGTTTTTTAGTTTGTTGTTGCTAAATCAATAAACTCAAAAACAAGTAAAGTTTATATATGTGAGATTTTTCTGAGTCATTTAGTAGATATTTTGAAATTAAAATACTGATAATTTTTCTGACAGATAATGATTTGAATATTTTAAATTAGAAACTTTGTATTTAAATTTTCTAATATCAGAAGTTAAGTATATATATTCTATTTGAATTATTTTGATAATAGATAATAACAATATAACACTCAAATACATTCAAAAACCAGCAAATCTGTAATAATTGAGTGTTTTCAACCTTTATAAATGTCGTGTTAAAGCATATGGAGGTGCTGGAAATTTATAAATCTGGTAGGAAAGGTCAGTCTGTTAACTTCAAATACCAAGAAGCTATTTCAAATGCCTGGAAGTTGTACTACAAGTTACTTTATATACATGGACACAAGTGAGCCTGTTCCACATGTGCATAGAATATTATTGGATTATTTTTGTATTACAGGTTCTTTAATGTAAGAATAACATATATTAACACATGTTTAGTTGTATTTTATCATCTCTCCTAATGAAAATTAAATTTAGGTTTAAACATTTTTTTTTTATTAAGTACTTGTTGCTGAGCTTATATAAAGTGTGATTTTTATTTTATTTTAATCAGAGAGCACACAACATAGTTAAATTTTGTAAGATTTGAATCACTTTACTCAAAGTTGATTCCTGTATTGATTAGCTGTACTTGCTGATGAGGGTCAAAAACATTTAATTATTAAAGCTTTGCTGGGTTTTGAGATACTTGGTCTTGTATTATGTTGATAATACCAGTATAGATGGATTTAATTTGATAATGGATTTTTGCATCTGAAAAATATAATTATTATATATTATCTATAATTTTTCTCCATTTAAAGAATCCATTATTTAATTTTTTGAAATATAATTAATTATTAACAATAAGGAAGTTTAGAAAAATTTATCTCATTATCTATTTTATGTTTTGGATTTATATATACATTATATTTTAGATTTAGCATGTTTTTATATCAACAAAAACATATTGAAGTAAATACAAAACTACTTATATATTCTCTGATTTGTTATGGAAAGATATAAGGACTAAGAATTTGAGGCTGGATTCACAAAAGTGTCATTAATAATGATGTCATATACTAATAATGATATTAAAAATAAGTTTAACAATTTGTCATAGATAGGATTCACAAATTTCATCATATAGCAATGTACTGCTAATGACATAGTAATTAGCATCTTGTGTTGAGTATGTGGAAGTATCATTATCACTTCCTGTTGTCCACTGTCAGTAAGAAATTAGGGTTTACTCCATTCAGTTTAAGAACTTGTTAAGTGGCTGACATGAAAGGAAATATTAGTTAAGAAATTTTATACATTTTTTAAAAATTGGTTCATAATATTAAAGGATCATAACAGTTTTATAAAAAGAATAAATTGTGTAGTCTGGCTACAAAATATATTTAGAATATTTTACAGCAAACATACAATAAAATGTATTTTAAGAAATTGCAACAATAAAGTTGAATACAATTATGTGGGTAGCCTGAGGTAGGACAAAGTCGTACCTCTTTTTGATAGGCAACAGTTTGGTGAGAATTGCCCACTGGTCAGTGGATGGCTTGTTTATGGGTTTTTTTCTATCCCGGAAAGTCGGGATTCTTTTGTCAGGT